GGTGGGGTGGTGGGGCGTACGAAACAAAGAAGAAGATTTATGCTTGCCATCCTGGACGGAGTGGGTGGGGGGCACTAAAGTAGGTCGGAAAAAGTTTCTTCCTTGACGAAAGAAACCGGTGTTTGGTCTCCGCGTCACCGCGTGACCTTGTACTTTCTGACCGTGTCCAAGAGCTTCTTGGCGTCGCCCTTGGCGAAGTGATCCCGCACGGGCTGCAAGATGGCGTTAAGGGCGTCCGTGACCGCCGGCTTTAGCTCGCTGGGGTGGATCTGCGTTTTATCGCCACGAACGACGACGGCGACGACGATGACAGCAGAGATGACTAATCTTTATACGTACAAGGCAAAATTCGAAGCACAAAACAAGAGGTGCATGAAAAGAAAACTCCCTAATGTGGATCGGCCTCGACCTTACTATGCCCCGATACGGAAAACACACCATTCGAAGTACAAAACAAGAGGTGTGGGGAAAGAAAACAAAACATTGCCTTGTGTTGACCGGCCCCGATCTAACTGTGCGGCGACAGAACCCGTGCCCCAGCGGCATTGGAACGCGACCGATCAGCAAATGGCCGACGGGAAGGTTTCGCCGTAGAGCCCAAGCAACGGCCACTCGAGTTGTCCCACTCGAGTTGCCCCTCGCACAAGGGCGAGAGGTCCACCCATCAACCGCTCTCGACAAGTGGTGTGCTGAGGGTGTGGGGGTGTCCAACGTTCGATGAGGATGCCTCATGCTTGTCCTTTCCACGATAGCTACTGCACAGCTTTAGACTAGCAACAAGACGCGGCCAAGAGAGCCACAGAAGCAACGACGACATTGGCGTCGATTCCGCAAATAAATACCGCCTACTTTGTACTGTATTCATCTGTAAAACGAACAGAGCTCATACAGAAAAACCATTTTCATCACTGCACGACAGCATGTAGTGTGGCCAAACGATCCACTTTTCATCAAACGACCGCCAACAAGAAATCGAAACCAGACAATAATCCCGTCCGTGGCACAGAGCGTACACCTGCTGTGGTGCTGTAACAGCGAAGCCGGCGAGGAGTCAGTCCACAGCACCGTTACGACTACAAAGGCAGCAGACAGCACTTCAGCAGAAACGATACCGCAATACATGGCTGATGAGCAGAAAACCTGTACGTGTTGAACGAAACCGCCAAAACCACGCCGAGAAAGGGACGAGACGAGTCAGGCCGCCCCCTTTCTCACCTTGCCACTGACGAAGTCCTTCTCCATGTCGTCGTAGCTGGTGTACGTTATCGGCTCCCCCTCCCGGAACGATATGGTCAGCTGTTCAGAGGCAGCAACAAAAGAACGGTCGGCAGAAAGGAAAAAAGCAACGGACACCCATGAATGATTGGTTCCGC